CGCTACTAGGTTGGAGGCGATTGCTATTAGGTTGGAGGCCATCGCTACTAGGTTGGAGGCGATTGCTATTAGGTTGGAGGCCATCGCTACTAGGTTGGAGGCGATTGCTATTAGGTTGGAGGCCATCGCTACTAGGTTGGAGGCGATTGCTATTAGGTTGGAGGCCATCGCTACTAGGTTGGAGGCGATTGCTATTAGGTTGGAGGCCATCGCTACTAGGTTGGAGGCCACTATGAGATCTTATGAGTACTTTCTTTCACGAAAGAGTTGTCTCGATTGTCTCGTTTAGTGTCGAGGCCTGGCCCCGGTGGATCAACCACACCTGATGCCACGAAGCTCTACATCGATGCCAGAGAGCAGAGTACTTAAAGGACGATACGCTTATTGCAGACTTGGCTGAAAGCTGCACTTGGGACATCCAACAGTGTATTTCTCAGTGCAGTTTTTGAGGTTGGACCTGGGCGGTGTGTATCATCTCTGTCGGAATGCCAAGGGGTTCAGCAAGAGGTCAGCAAGGTGTTGTTTGTGGTGTCTTTGGATTTTGGATTGTCACAAACATCTTCAAGTGTTTTGTTCCTAGCAGTGTAGCTTTGCCCATTCTCTAGAGGAGCATGATGTAGTACAGGAACCCATTAGTGCCACTGGCAATGAAACGTTTATTTTTTTTCGAAGGGCTGTAGAGTTGGTGATACTGCTTCCAGCACGAGGTATGGACTTGGATGGCTCCAATGCCAAGATGGGGATGGGAGACACTTCCTTCCTAGTTTCTTGCTGCAAGATGCTATTGTGGCTGATGCGAACATCGAGTTTGTCAGCTTTCTCTTTCGATTTCTGCGATTACCGTGTCTTTCTTTGACAAAAATGCGATAGACGAAGCAGCGCCTTCCACATGCTGAAGGTCTATGTCACCACCATGACTGCTATCAATCCTTGGGGAATCCTGTGAGAAACTTAAAGGATGCCGTCAGGCATAGAAGAAGTGAAACAGTATATATTATATATACACTGCGGGAAACAGTATATACTGCAATGGAATCTCAGAGTACGATAGAAGCGGAGAAGCTTCCAGAAAGAGAAACAATACTCTTTGTTTGTGAAGTTTTATCATTCCAAAAGGTTTTGTTGCTTTCTTCGATGTTTCGATCTGCTTCGCCCTTCAGTGTGCTCAATCTTCTGAGGCCAGCTCAAAATCAGACTGTGGCCGTGTAGCCTAGTTGTCGCATATTTTTGCTATTCTCCCTTTGCAGATTATGCACATATCGACAATGTGGACATTTGTGTGGTTTCTGCCCTTGATGGCGGATCGCTAGAGAACTTGGAAGGCATGAAGGTCAAAGATCAGGAGGTGGTCACAACTGTTCTTCACCCTGTTTTGGAAGCAGCCGGAGCAGCTAGGAAACAGAGAAGAAACTCCTTGAATCTTTGATAAGATTGGCATTGTGGTTTGAATGCTGATTACTGTAGTTGATGCAGAGTGCTTTTTTCCGGGCAATCGACAGAATAAATCAATTCTCCTCATTAAGTTTAACCACAATGTATTGAGCAATTGCATGGATCGCCGCGCGTAGGACACCTTGAGTTTCGTGAGGGTTTGCAAAATACACTTGTTGGAACTTGCCTAAAGCTAATATGTTCATGATTGATAGTTGCATGGTTTTGAACTTTCTGTTGAACTCGGCTTCTATTGCCACGCTTCGAATCTACCCTCGGGTCATGACCCTAGTGCCTTCTTTGTACCCTGGTCAAAACCCTGTTTTTGTGATGGTTGAAAAGCAGCCACAAATTGATTCGATGCGCATGAACATTGAAAAGGATCTTGCCAAACAGCGACCAGCTTCTGTGTCGGGCTGATGCAAAGACTCTGTCAGTCACGCAAACATGTGTTGGACGGATGCAGCCCTCTGAAGCGCGAGTGGAATCAAGCTAGCCACCAGACATGAAGATCAATTGCCTTGCTTCCACATTTGGGCAACACCAACTTTATTGCAAAAGTAGCCATTGTCCCACAGATCGCGTCCTTGTTGCCAAGTGGTCGAGCCATTGGCGATGCAGCTACTAGCGACGGCCTCCAAACTACTAGCCATGGCCTAGAACCTAAGAGCGACGGCCTCCAAAGTATTGGTGTGCTTGCCGTGCAAAACTGGGCGAGCAAAAAGGTCGGACCTGAGCATCACTGAACACCAGTCAGGTAGTGCTAATTTAGTTTGTCTATTTCTAACTTGTTACTACTAGTAAGGCACTTGGTCCTAATAGCTTCTTGTTCCTAGTAGTAAGGCACTTGTTACTAGTAGCGATGCACTTGTTAAGGCAAGCACGGGTGTATTCACTATGCACTGCACTTTCCCTGTCCACTGCAAAGCACTTTACCAGCGCAATCCCTGGCCTTGCCTCCAGCTATTGGGTTCCAGACGCTTCTGCGGCTTTGGCGGGACTTTGTGGTACATTCAGTGCCTTCTTTGGTTTTTGCGGGACTTGGCTCTGACTAGATTTGGTGTTTGTTTCTGTAGTTCTCTTCGGCTAACATGGACTGCGTTGCTATATATTATTCCTTTGTTGGCTGTGGGGATTCTTTAGCAGCTGTGGTTTTGAGAGTGTTTTGGTTTTCGTAACTTTTTGGTTCCTGAGATTCAGTCCAAATACTCACAAGGTCCCATAGCCTTGCAGAAAACATCCTACAAGTCCCGCGGTCCGACATTAGTGGGTTACCCTTTAGGCTGGGTGGTGCACGTAGGTGTTTTCATGGTTGCGAAGTTTGGGCCTTTGTTTGTTTTTGGTGTTTTTTTTGTGGCTTGACACCGTGCATTACTTCAAGCAGGGCGAGTAACCGCAATCCATGGCATGAGATGCTCTAATTCTTTTTGCTCTACAACTTTGTCCTCTTTCGGTGGAAGTCATTGCAATTTGGTTGTGTTGTTGGCATTGTTTTTTCGGCCTTTCCCGCCCCTTAAGTGTCGCATGGTGTTTTGCTGATTCCCCCATCCACAGTTTGTTTGCAAGCGCATGATGAGGGTGCAGCTCGATGAAAAATTATCTTGACGGCACAGCTTGCAAACCTCAAGTTGTTTTTCAAGTTTTTGCATTTCATATTTTTTCCACACCATTCAATAGGTTTTCAGGTTTAGGAACATTGGCTTCGTCTACCCCCCCACACCCCCTAGAGGCCCTAGATAACTCACTTCGTTCGAAGACAAGAAAGGAGGAAAGCTCAGTTTCCGGGAAAATGTAGACACCAAATCTTTAAGGTCGTAGATAAATCCCTGCCTTGTAAC